TTTCCCTATTAAAACTCAGATATTCTGTTAACAAGTTGAGGTACAAACATAAAGCAACATATCATTACAGTAAGAGATGCAATGTATATTACAAGCACTTGATTTTGTTGGTGGGAACTACAGGTGTTCTTGCATGTAAAAGAAATGCACAGAAAATGACCTACCGAAATCCCTGCTCCTTGATTGCAAAGGCTGGTGTTTCCAAAGGGAAGATCTCAGACTGGACAAACAGTTCCCGTACTCGACGGTCTATGACTTTTCCATACTGAGCTCCTGCATCAAGGATTACAACAGCCCCTTCATAGTGATGCTGGCCATCCTTGAGATCTCCTCCAGCATTCTCCGGCTGTGAACAATATTTACATATGTACTTTATCATAACGGTTAGACTATTCGTATAGAATCAGAATCAAAGCAAGGCCTTTTAAATGACACTGACTGGGAAACTAATTATTAAAGGGCTGAAATAAGGAAACTTCCCAGTGACTCTAACATAATTCTTTAATAAAGAGCTACTGACAGCAAAAACATTTTAATGAAAAACATCAGGATTTATGTACAGCAATAACATGCAATAGCCGGATTTAGCTAACCAATATACCACATGGAAAACCCTGTGTGCTGTTTACATGGGTATAACATTTACTATTGATTTATGTAGCACAGAACCATAGAATACCCCTCCTGAGCTGCCATACCATCTGCTCACTCACTAGGCCAAGCCCAAGGGGAACAAGGATTACTTAAGTCCTCTCTTTCCACTGAAGAAGTGGTGCATATGACCTAGCCCTATACTGCCACTTTAGCCTCTGAAACTATGATATCCCAGGGAACACAAAAATAGCATTTTATAAGTCTAATATACAATATTGTGGTTAAAAAAAAAAAAGTGTGAATTTATCCCTAGCAAAGAAGTACTGGACCTAATTGCACTACTCAAATAGTTCAAGGTCAGTGGTGAAACTCGTCTTTCTTTACCACACCACAATGTATTCTAGATTCTGACTAGGAATAATCTTCTGTAGAGGATGAAAAGGCTACTTTGGTCTCCATACTGATTCAGTCTTCAGTTTATCTAAGATTGTCAAAATCCCACACTAGCCATTTTGAAGGCAACATTCCAAGCAGTTTATCATTCTGGGGAAATGGGAGGGGAGCATTACATAACTTTAAAAACTTTAAATCACGAAGGAACAGATTTAGAAAAACAAAAGACTTCTGCAGCCTTTCTGAATACACTACTCAGTGCAAATATTGCCCCAAAATCTTGTTCAGAGATCAACCTTTCCTAACATTTCATATTTTACCCAAGTGGCAAGTCCTTTACTCTTGTGTAACACCAACAACCACTTTCATAATAAATAGTAGCTCTGAAGCAATTCAGGCAGAATATATTTTCTAACGCTACACATTTATTTCTGATAGAATTTAACAGTAGTTCAGCAGCAGGAGAGTGTGGTTGTCAGCAGCAAACAAACTGAACTACCCTCTAATTGTGGTCTGCAGAAACCTCAGACAGAAAAATATAGAAAGGACTCAACACAAAAGATTTTATGGAAGGCAAGAGAGACTAGACCGCCCTTCAGTTTTATGAAGAGTGCTACTACTCTGGATCCTCTCCTTCAGGTTGCACTAGTGTGGACTTCTGCCCAAGAAAAAATATAAAATATATTTCCCTTCCTTTGTTACTGAGAAGCAAGAGTCAAGAAGCAAAAGAAAGTGCTTTTCTCATTTGCCTCTGAGACGAAGTAATTTTACCTGTAGAATAAACCAAGCTGGAGTAGACAACCTTTTCTAGCTCTGGGCCAGAATAAACCAACCCAGGTCAGGAGATGGGCAGGCACTAGGACCTGCCCAGTGTTGGGGTTCATCCCTCCAATGGCACAGGGAGAGTACGGGATGCTGAATGTCACTGAAGGCCCACCTCCGCAGGCTGGATCCAAGGGCTGTGAGCTGCTGACCCCTAAACTAAGCTCATGTTCATTAAGGGTGGAAGACGCACTACATCTAGAGCTGTAAAACTTCGCTGGTGGCTAACTAGTTCCTCCATTGGAGTGGTAATCAAAACTCTGAAGGTTTTAGCAAGATGATTTTTAGGCTTGGTCCAAGATAAAACCACAACTCTTCTGCATAAAGCTACATTGCATATACTCACATATTTGCACACAAAACACTTACTATTTATACAATTTAACACCATGAAGTTATTTTTAAAGAAATACGTAACTTATTACATTTTTTTAAAATATTTCCCCTACCATCCCACCTTGTGTTAGCTGATTATCTAGAAGTTATTAAAGAAGGAAATAGTTTAATATGAGGCATTACTGTAGTCTTTCAGAAGATTCAGAGTATCAATCCTTAGTCCCAAAATCATATAAAGACAAATAAAAATTATGATAGCACTATATTTAATTCATCCTTTAACAACAAACTGCCAAATTCTGATTAAGGGTAAAGTATGCCAACTATGAAAATGATCTTCTCAATTCCTCAACATCACCAGCACTATTTAACTTACATTTAGGAGAAACACTTCAGTGGAATATACACATAAAAAGAAGAACAATTAGATCTCTCGCAAACCAAGTTGTACAGGTTTTGGAAGACCATGGCAAAACCTCTGGATCAGAATATTTATTCAAAGAAGTACAAACCTGACCTCGATGTTATCAATGGAATATTGTTCCTTCTTCCATGGCTACTTACTAATCAGTGAAGTGCTCCTCATTTAAAAAATAGGAAACTGAGACAGAGATTTAAGTCAATTTTCAAATTCATGTCTGAACACAGCACTATAGTGTTTAACCTCAAGGTCATCCTTCCTACTTTTGAGTTAGGAAGCCCATTTAATATGCAATGCCAGGCTAAGTAAAACATTATGCCTTTAGAAAGCCATATCAGAATGCACTGGTTTAGAATGAAAGCTAATCTGAATTTTCGCAAGATCTGTGGTTAAAATGCCAGTCTTGATTACATGTGCTTAGTATTTCTATTTAAACATATGCAAAAGAGTGGTTTTAGGCTTTTGACAGGTTATTCTTAATGAATGAAAACATTACTCCTCCAGCTTTTGGCAGGGAAGGCAAGAAGGTAGAAAGAAAAAGACACTCCTACCCACAGCCCCCCATAATATTCATTGTTCTTTTGTTAAACTACAAGCTCCCTAAAAACATTGATAAGGATTTACCACTTCCCTCCACAGTTTATACATCAATGGAACTCTTATATGGAAGGGACAAGTAATTTGGATAGTCAATCTACATGAATTTAGGAGTAGATACAGTTCCTGTTTATGACACACATTCCACCTTAAGACAGTCCAATATTTCAGTGTCGAATCCTGATATGCAAAGGTTTCTAAAGTTTCTTTCCTACGTTGAAATTGACATACACAATACGCAGGCATTTCATTGGTTTACCTGAACTGTTTACAAGTCTTTACTTATCTTGGTTTAAGACAACACAGGGGTTTTCAACCTTTTTTAATAAGCGTACCCCCGGTGGTTAGACATGGCATGATGGGAAGGGGAGCTGTGGCACAGGGTGGTGGATGGCGGCGGCACCTGCTGCCACATGCAAACTCTACCCCCACCCCACCCCCAATCCAACTCTCTGGGCAGCTCCTGTGCGGCTGGCAGAGGGGTGCTGCTGCCTTCGTCCCAGCCCTGCTCCTGGGAGGCGGTGGCACAGGGTAGAGAGTGGCAGCGCTCCATCCCTGTCTGTCTGTGCGTACCCCGTAGGACCTTCCCGCATATCCCCGATTGACAGCCCCTGAGATAGCAGAATCAGAAACATATCATTAACATAATAAAGATACTGTTACACATACGGGCAAAACATCAGTGTCTCAAATGGAATTAAGGTCTCACTGAACTAGGCATCCAACACACAAGGCAGTCCCTACTCTGAAGAATATTTAAGTAGGACAAAATCCTCACCAGCCTGCTAGTGCTGAATTTGCATGAAGGGAAGTTAAATAGGTCAGCACCCCTGTTTTAACCCTGTTCTCTGGGATCTCCAGCAGGAACCTTACATTACCTTACATTCCCTTGCCGCAGTGAAAAAAAAAGGTTCCTTCTACAGCAGACAGTTTATCTGAGTGACCGGCAACTAAATTAACCTAGCGCAACTGCAAGTCTCCCTACAGCCAAAGCACGTTTCTGAGTCCTCACTTTTTCCACACTTCTCAGTGTGCATAGGGGTACACTCCATGATTTTTTGTGCCGAAACATTAAAAAAACTATTTCCCAGCCAATCGTGTCAACGCTGGGAAAGTTTGCCTGTTCAGTGAAGGATGCTTGAGGCCTATAGTGTTTTGGTAATTTTGCTCAGGTTACTACCAAAGTCAGTACCCAAATTACTGCACAGTTCTAATGCAAACTCTTAGCCAAGTAAATCAGCTTGCGCTTATATCACCTTTACACATGGCTCTGAGGTTCTTCCTTGTCAATGGCACAGAGAACTGGACTAAAACTTAGTAAAAACCTGTGTTCACGGTACTGCACAGCCTGTGCAGCACTGGCATATCCTGCTAGTAGCCGTAAAGTACAAACATAAAAGATACTAATCTTAACCGGTGCATTAATCACCAAATATGGCCCAATGACAGTAATAGGAACTAGTGAACACACACACACACACACACACACACACACACACACACACACACACACACAGAGTAAACCAAGCCTCCCTAAAGTAAGGCTTTGCTTTGAATATAACTTTGAAAAAAATGAAGATGTTTTTAAAAACAGCAACACAGGGAAGCCTTTAACATGTCAGCTTAGCTCACATACTGGAACACCTTTCACAGGTCAGAAAAGAATTGGTGGGGGTGGGTTAAGAAAAAGCTCAGATAAAAATACAGTGGATTTTTTCAGTTTAGGATAACTAATTTAAAATCACAGGGATTCACATTAAAAACCACATCATATGCGAAATATTTCTACTGTTGTCTGTGATTGGTGAACCAAATAAACCAATTACACTACCGCAAAATAATATCATCTCGTGACTTTGGTTTGCCTAGAGTTTCAGACAAATCTAAATTCTGAATCCTGAGACCTGAAGCTGAAAATGAAGTCTAACTTAACATAGTGAAATTATGCTATCACCAGTTAGTCCTATGAAGGACAGGATTTTGAATCCCACTTCCTCAACCCCCTTATCTGAGCTGCCTTACATTAACTCTTTGACAGCAATGGCAGTCTGTCAACACATTTTTTGGCATTAGAGATGTTATTTATTTTTGTTTAATGGACATTGTCTTAATGGAGGGAGTCTTGCAAAACTTATATGTGGATTAAGTAGCAAATACAATTTCTGAGGAATTCTAACAAAAGTTTTCAGTCTTGAATGCCTAACATTAGACAAGAA